ACAAATAGATTACAAGAAAAGAAAACTACAGACCAATGTCTCTCATGAACACAGATGCAAAAATTCTAAATAAACTCTTAGCAAATCAAATCCAACAATATCATAAAAGAATAATACATCATAACTAAGTGGGGTTTATCCCATGTATGCAAGGTTGGTGTAACATTCACAAATCCATGGAATACACAATAATAAGACACCAAAAAAAAAAAGATAATATCAGTAGATGCAGAAAATGCATTTGACAAATCCAATATGCATTCCTGATTAAAAAAAAAAAAACAACTTGCAGCAAACTAGGAATAGAAGGGAACTGACCCAACTTGATACAGGGCATCTATAAAAGGCCTACAACTAACATCATACTTAGCGGACGAAGACTGAATCCTTTCCCCTAAGATCAGGAAAAAGGCAAGGATATTTGTTCTCACCACTTCAACATTCTACTGACAGTTCTAGCAAAAAGGCAAGAAAAAGAAATAAATGGCATCCAGATAGTAAAGGAAGAAGTAGAATTATCTCTCTTTGCAGATGACATGATTGTCTATGGAGAACAACCAATGGACTCTACATAAAGAGCTACTAGAACGAATAACAGAGTTTAGTAAGTTGCAGGATAAAAAATCTATATGAAAAAAAATCAAGTATATGCCTGTATACTAATACCATTTACAATGGCATCAAAATACAAAATACTTCCGGATAAATTTGACAAATATGTGCAAGGTCCACCCATTGAAAACTATAAAAAACACTGCAGAGATATATTTTAAAAGACCTAAACAAATGGAGATATAGATCTTGTTCGTGGGTCAGAAGATTCAATATTGTTAAGATGTCCATTCTCCCCAAAGATTTAACACAGATTTAACACAATCCCAGTCAAAATCCCAGCAGCCGTTTTTGTACAAATTGACAGGATGATACTAAAATTCAAATAGAAATGCAAAGGATCTAGAATAGCCAAAACAACTTTGAAAGGGAACAATAAATTTGGACAACTAATACTACCTGATTTCAAGATTTATTATAAAGCTACCGTAATCAAGACAGCATGGTATTGGCATAAAGACAGATAAATAGACCAATAAATCAGAAAAGACAGTCCAAAAACAGATCCATACATATACGGACAACTGATTTATCGAGAGGTGCAATGGCAATTCAATGGAGAAAGCATGGTCTTCCAGAAATGTTGCTGGTGCTACTGGATTTCCATATTTACAAAAAAGAACTTTAATCCACACTTCACATCACCTTCAAAAACTGAGTCAAATGGATGATAGAATAATGTAAAGCCTAAAATTATAAAACTTCCAGGAAAAAAAACACAATAGAAAAAACTATGTGAACTTGGGCTAGGCAAAGATTTCTTGGACATGACACTGAAAGCAAAATCTACAAAAGAATAAATTGGGCTTCAAAACTTTAAACTTCTGCTCTTTGAAAAACACTGTTAAAGGATAGGAAAATACAAGCCATATACAGAGAGAAAATATTTGTAAATCACATATCTGATAAAGGACATACCCAGAAAATATAAAGAACTCTTAATTAGTGATAAGAAAACAAACAAATCAATATAAAAAATAGGCAAAATATTTGAACAGACACTTCACCAAAGAAGATATATGGATGACAAGCACATAAAAACATACTCAATATGCTTAATCATTAAGAAAATGCAAATTAAAACCACAATGAGATACACTAAACATCTACTAGAATGGCTAAAATAAACAAGACTGACTATACCAAGCGTTGGTGAGGATGCGGAGGATGGTGAGGATTCTCATACACTTCCAATGAGAACGTAAAATGGTACAACCACTCTGGAAAACAGTTGGACAGTCTTTTTAAAAGATAAGCATAAACCTACCACATGAACCAGTCCCAGGTATTTACCCAGAAGAAAAAAAAGCATATGTCCATACAAAGAGATGTATACAAAATGCACATTACAGATTTATTTGTATTAGCCCCAAACTAGAAACAACCCAAAGGTCCATCAACAGGTAAATGGATTAACAAATTGTAGTATATCTATACAAGGCAAAACCACTCAGCAATAAAAAGGAATAAACTATTGATAACACACAACATAGATGGAGCTCAAAATAATTATTTGGAAAGAAACCAAACTAAAAAAAAAAGTATATTGTATGATTCCACTTATATAAAATTCTAAAAAATGCAAACTAATCTGTGGTGACAGAAAAGAGATTTGTGGTTGCTCAGGGATGGTTGAGAGGTGGAAAGGAGGGATTACAAAGGGGCACAAGGAAACTTTGGGGATGATGGATGTGTTCGTTATCCTAATTGTGGTGATGGTTTCATGGGTGTATTCATATGTCAAAACACATCAAACTGTACACTCTAAATATGTGCAGTTTCTTGTATGTAAATTATATTTCAATGTAAAGTTGTTAAATAAAAGAGAAGCAGAGCTACAAAGAAAGTTAAACTCTCGGTCTAGGCAGGTCAGCCATGCAAAGGTCAGAGCACTAGTTGGAAAGAATGGGACCCTGACAAAAGGGATAGGTAAATCTGGGTTGATCCATGCCAAAATCCTCAATCCCTAAGCCCTCAGAGCATGCAGAAACGGCTCCTTCCTTCCCATCAAGGACTAGGATTCCCCTGTGCAGGACAGGAGATCCTCTCAGGACCTGCATGCACGTGCCCTCCCAGCAACTTGGTCAACAACTACATTTAAGTCACAACATTATCCGGCCAGGAATGTGCTGGGCCTGATAAGGGAAGAAAGGGACTCTATCTTGAAGGAGGTGCAGGTCCTAACCAATTGACACCAGCATGAGGCAGAAGTGCACATGTGGGAATGGATCCTATGGGTGTTGAATCAAGGAGGGAGGAACATGAAGTCAGATAAAAGAGACTTTTAATTTGAGAAGACTCCCTAGGGAGATAAAGAGCTTCAAGTACTCTGGGAGGTGTTGCAAACACGCTGCTAGGATGGTGCCAAGAAGCATGGAAAAAGTGATAATCTGTGTTATATGAGGTAGAAATACCAAAATTTCTGTGGCAAACAATGGAAGAAGTGAATAAAAGGCTCACAGAAGTGTATATGATAGAGTGGCTATACTATGTAAGTCTGGAAACCTAGTCGATAATTATGTCCCAAGGAGGGCCCAGAGGTCACGCCATTTTCTAAAGCAGTAATGAATGTGCTAGTGAAAAGGGCACCAGCATCACTAAAAAGTTCCGTGGTGGTTCTCCTCTGGCGGCCAGGGCTGACCCCAGGGGCTGCTATTACAGACCTGGGCTAACTGATAGAAATGGGGATGACCGACCCCCATAACAATGAAGACAGGTAGCAGCACTTATCTTCAGAAGTTAGGTGGATAGACGTTTTATAATGAGGGACAAGACTGGAGTGACAGCCAGTGGAGGTCTTACCCATGGAGAGCTATGGAAATGGTTCACAGAACATGACATTCCTAAGGACAATATAGATGGGCAGCCAACAAAGGTACTAGAACTACACAACCTCTACAATCAAAATACAACAGGGATTGATGACCAGAAGGCTAAGGACAATCATCTCAATAAAAATTCACAATTTCTTGCCCTGCGTCCAGACCTTAGCCAGTTTTTGGACTTGAAACTAGGGTTTCCAGATTTAGCAAATAAAAATACTGGGTGTCCTGTATTTTATCTGATAACCCACTGACAAAAAGAGAGGCTAGATCCCTAAGAGGAAGGTCTCTGCAATATCATAACAAGAGTACACGGCCACGAGTCCTCCAATCCTTTCCAAAAGGACTGAAGGCCATTTGTGTAACAGTACACTGGGAGACAGGGAATACCAAAACATAGTGAGGCCTCCTGGACAGAGTTTGAGTTGACATTAACACATGGAAACACAACGCATTGTGAAAATATTCTTATTAGAATGGGGATATGTGAGGGCCAGGTAATAAATGGAGTCAAGCCCATCGGTAGCTTACAGTGAGCCCACAATTTGTTAATCCATTAACACACGTTGAAGAATATTTGGGTTGTTTCCATTTGTTTCAGCTACTAAGAAAGCAGTTGCTCTAAACATTCACACACAAGTCTTTGTGTGGACACGTGTTTTCATTTTTCCTTGGTAATATCTGCGAGTAAATTGGGTGGGTCATAGGATAGAAACAAAATTTGCATTTAATTTTTTACTACTGTTTGTCTAATTTTTTGTTTATTGTTTTACAGAAGAGTGTCAGAGGAAACAGCAGTAACTGGTTTAGGAATGGGGCTTTGACATTCACAAATCCACCCTCCACCACCAGACTGTCAGCTCTTCCAGGGCAGAAACCCCATCATCTAGCCCAGACTCTGGATTTAAAATGTTAATTACGACACTTTCACAAGTTGGACTGTACAAAATTGTCATTTGGGGAGGTCAAAAACAGTGTTGGTATCGGAATGGTTCGATTTATTTAAATGGTTCAATCTAATATAAATAACTGTTAATCCTATCACTGTGCACATTCTCTTGGTGTAATTTAAACAAATACTTTCACAACACTCACTATGTCTGTAAAACAAAACTATTATGGTCTCCGTTTTGGAGAGAGGAGGCTTAGCCAAAGGGGTGAGTCACTCACTCACAGTCTCATAGGTAGGAGGTGGAGGAGGCAGGCTCGGGGTCGGCTGCGCTGCCTTCCCGAAAGGATCTGAAGGCTGCAGCTCCGAGACAGGGACTAGCCCACCACCACACAGCAAGCGAGGAGGCGCGAGCGCCGGACCCCGGGTATCTGACTTCCACCACCCGCTTTCATCAAGTCCGATGCTTTCTCGTCCACCCCCACCCCCACGCCCACCCCATTTAAGGGATGAGGAGCCTGAGCCTGCAGAGGCCGGGCTGCCCCGCCAGGCTTGGCAAACCGCGAAGGGCCGGGGTCCGCGGCGGTGGTCTCGGAGCTGACGCCGAGGGTCCCGCGGACACAGGATGACGCCTAGAAGGGGGAAGATCGAGGGCAGAGGTGGAAGGGGGCGCTTACTCCGGCCCATGGCGCCTCTCGGGTTCGTGGGCCCCGGAAGCTCGACCCCAACCCGGAGGACTCAGCTCAGGCTTCCCGATCACGCCTCTGCGCGTCCCCACCGGACTCGGGAACCATGGCAACGGGGACTCTACGGCGGCCGCGCGGGACCAGGCGGCGCCGCGTTTCCTGCGCTCGGGGGGGGGGAGCAAGGAGGCGGGACTCCGCGGTGGAGGGGCTCCCCGAAGGAGGTAGGGGCTCTCGCCGACTCAGACCTAGTCGTCTTCCGCGTCCCCACTCTCGACTTTCTGCAGACTGCTTTCCTTTCCCCAAATCGACTGGCCAGACTAAACAAAAGACCCACAGGGCGCTCTTATTTCCTGATGGGAGCTGCCTCCTAGACGTGCCTCTTAGCCAACCCTTTACTTTTTTTCCGCTTTTTGTGTTTTATTTAACACCTTCGAGTGGGGAGATCTGAATTTGACCCACCTTTCATTCACTAGCGGTGTGACCTTAAACTTCCTTAGCCTCCGTTTCCACCCCTGTAAGATGAGTAATAATAATAACCTGGCAGGATCTTTGTGACGCTTTAATGAGATAATTTGAGTGAAAGATGCTTTTTTAAAAACATCAGCTCAATATAAAGGTTAGTTGTCATTGTTAGATTCCATCTCTTTAAAGTCACCGCCCAACACCAACTTCCTGCCAACAAGTTTTCCAAAACCACCACAAATTATCCTCTCAGTCAATTTTCCCTACTCATCACTTTCCTTTTGTGTGTGTGAGGAAGATTAGCCCTGAACTAACATCTGTTGCCAATTCTCCTCTTTTTGCTGAGGAAGATTGGCCCTAGGCTAACATCCCTGTCCATCTTCCTCCACTTTATATATGGGACTCTGCCACAGCATGGCTTGACAAGCAGTGTGTAGATCAACGCCTGGGATCCAGAGCACGCGGACTTAACCACTATGCAACCCGGCTGGCCCCAACCCACCACTTTCTTAATTGTAAAGTATAGGAAGTGTCTCTCCTACAGCTCCCACTACTCCCCTTGCATTTCCCCAGGCCTCTCTCCAAAAGTGCCCAATGTGCTTTACCTCCATTCTGGACTAGGAAGGACGTCAATAAACTCATTCATTCTTGGATGTTCAGACGTTAGTGCTTTAATGTATTACACCTCCCAAGATTTGTTTTATTTTTAATGTATTATTATTACAAATTATTACCCTCTACCCTATTTGCAAAAAAAAAGTGCAATATGTAAAGACTAAAAAAACTTCTCCCATCCCTGTCATAGAAAACAATATGACGTGCATGCTTCTTATTTTGGTGTGTGTACTATGTTTGCATTTAAAAAGAAGATTCATAGAACAATATTGAGTGCAAAGAAATGTATTCTTTCAGCAGACACCTGTTAAGCATTTACTGTGGGCAGTTATTACTGTGGACAGTTATTAGGGTTTGCCAGGTGGAGACAAGAGCATGAACTGAGGCAGAGAGGCAGGAAAGCCAAACAAGGCAGAACGAAGGAGAAGCTAACCAGTTTAGCAATGGAGACAATTGCGTAAAGGGCATTTTTGAACAGTAAGCCTGAGAAATTAGATCAAGGGTAATGGAGACCTTAAATGCCAGAGGGCCAAAGGAACTGATCTGGAATGGTCAGATTTCAGGCACTGTGTGGCACTTCCATTGTGGGGACAGTGGGAGAAATATTTGGAGTTCCAAGGAGACTCCAAAAGCCACTCAAACTATAAATTTAGGTAACATCTGCTCCTACCCAAAAGTCTGGTTCTCATCATTTCACTATTTTTCAGAAGCAAGACAGTGTGGGGTGAAGAGTGTGACCTCTGGCTTTGAAGATCTGGTTCAAATCCACAGATGTATCACTATGGCAGTGGACAGATGACTGCACCTTCCAGAGCTAAAACTTCCCCATTTCCACATGAAGATAATGTTATAGGCAATCACCTATGGCTGTGCCACTGAGAAGTCAGTGTGCTGGTGTCTGATTATTCATGTCAGAAATGACATGCCATGAGCAGCAGGCTAGTTTAGCAAATATGCCTGTGCTTGAACTTGTGCATTTTGACAGCAAAGGATTCATCAAGGCTAAAAATTATCTAGCTTCTGGCCGGAAGCTGGTACCAGGGGGTATTCCAGGTAGAAAGGTTAGTTTCTAAGCTGACAGAGACATGAAGTCAGGCCTGGTATAAAGGATCTCAGCCCCTGAGTCAGAAGAGACATGAAGGAGACAATCCAGGACTCCAAAATTTCTCAAGAGCAATTGCAACCCAGGTGTCTGATATGTTGGCTCTGCACTTCTAGCCTCACCTTCAGCAAACTCACTGTTGAATTCTCAACCTCACTCTTAAACTCTCTAGTTGTTAAATGAGCCTTGAATTTTTCCTGTGAAACTTAAGGTTTCTAGAACTGAAGTATTCTATTTATTCATACATAAGTGAACAAACAATGGAGATGTCATTCTACCAGATAAAAATCTCTAAGGCATTTTTAAGCACTGTGTGCTCAACACTGCCCAAGTTCTTTGAAAGTGTTAATTAATTCTCACATCAACCCTTGGAGGTAGGCAATGTTATCATCTACATATTACAGATAAGGAAACTGAGGCCAAGTGAGATTATATTACTAGGGTATAGTGGATCCAGGATTTTGTGCCCAAACCTTACTCTATACTGCATCATTTTCTAGACTGAAATCTACTTGAGGGCAGGGAGGGAGTTTGTTTTTCATTTCCGAATCCTAGCTCTCAGCACAATTCCTGACACTTATTAGGTGCCCAATAAATATTTGTTGAATGATTGAATGAAGGAGTCCTTGAGCCAATCTCTCCAAAAGATTGGCTGTCCAGGATGTGAGGACCACGTCTCATGACTTAAGTAGGATCACCACTGAGGTGTCCGTGTTTTAAGGGGATCTAACAGGCTACCCAACAAGTGTGGCCCATTCTTCTAGTCATTGGACACTTCCTCATCTTGGAACTTTTTCACCAAAATCTAGGATAAGAGCTCCTTCTGGGAGCAGAGTCTTGACAGATTGTTCTACCACTCTGGTGGAACAGAGAAGAGCCTTGGGTGATAACCCAGGGAAACTAGGAATATCTACTTCATAATTTGTCATGGGCCAGCCTGGGCTGGTTATGCTGTGTCCTTCCTCAAACCATCATCCCAGTCACTGTGTTTCTTAGAAACAGAAGACATCTGGGGCATGAAGGACAGGTGTACAATGTACTGTGATTGTTCCAGTCTACTGACAGGAAGGGAAATTGGGAAATAAATCACAACTTGAAAGCTCCAAGTGAAGTCAAGTTCATTTCACTCCAACTGAATATGATAGTTTAAAGACTCATGGTGTGTGTCTGTTTATGCAAATCATTATTCAAAATAGACTCATTTCTTTGGCTCTTGGAAATATAACAAGATGAGCGGTGCTTCCTGGTAAACTGTTGCAACATTTTGTGTGTATAAGTAGAAGTAAATCTTGAAGAGGGATTTTTTTTTTTTTTTAATTCCAGTAACAGCAAAATAGTCCTCCTCCTTCTTTTGTGCTGATAAATTCCAGGGACATTGACCTAGAAGGCTATTTGGTTCTTATTATTTTCATTATTATACATAATTTAGTATTTTTGTGATGTGTAACTAATATCATGGTTACAATTCCATTGTACTTTGCCTTAATTTTCCTTCAGAAGAGTTTCCTCATTACAATTTTATGACACATAAACCAAGCTCCCAAGTTTATCAGCACCTCTACAATTTCCCTTCCTTCCTTCCTTCCTTCCTTCTTTCCTTCCTTACCTCCCTCCCTCCCTCGCTTCCTTCCTTCCTTCCTTCCTTACCTCCCTCCCTCTTTCCTCCCTCCCTCCCTCTTCCCTCCCTCCCTCCCTCCTTCTCTTCCTTCCTTCCTTCCTTCCTTCCTTCCTTTCCTCCTCTTTCCACTAACAAATACTGATCAAGTGCCTTCCATCTGCCAGGCACTGTGAGGAGTAATTGAGACAACATATGTAAAACCCTTCTACTGACCATGTAGGAAGCACTCAGTAAGGGTTAATTACTCATATTTTGAAAACAAAATAATCACTTCCATATATGGTGACTCTAAAAAGTAGGTACTATTATTATCCCCATTTTATAGATGAAGAAACTCTGTCTACTTTGTATCAACCCAAGGAAAAAGGTCTGAGAAAATCAAACTTAACTGCTTTGCTTGCCTTCGGGGAGATTGGAGGTGGGCAGCATAATTTAAGCTGGTCTGCTGTACCTATCTGAGGGATGACTTCTCCTGGCTGGTAGACTGAAGGCAAGAAATGAGAGGAGGGGGGAATAGGACAACTAGGTAATTTTCCAGGGCTTCCTTGACCCACATCTATGGGTATGAATTTGTGTTATTGGATTCGAGTCCCCCAAACATCAGACACTCCAATAATCAAATGGAAGTAGAAAAACACATCTCAAAAGCAAGCATAAAATGATTGTTTTCCTCTGTTTAAAGATAAACTGAGGCACATTAAAATTCAAGAGTTTATTTGAGCAAACATCAATTTGAATCAGGCAGCGCCAACCTGAGAGTTGTGAGGAGTGCTCCACGGCCAGGGGCTAGAGAGAGGCTTTTATAGAGAAGATGGGAAGCAAAGCAAGGAAATTATTTGATTGGCTGTAGCTGAGCAGTTGCCTTATTTGAGAAAGCCTAGTTGGCTGTTTGTGATAGGTTGTTCTTAGGTCTCAATTTCTTAACCTTGAGGAATTTACAGGAATTGACTCTGGCTTTGGTTTTGGTTACAGGCTGCCAAGACATTAGAGCTCCTCAGTCTAATGGTCTCCTTGTTTAATTACTTTAACACCTCCAAACTTCTGCTCATCTCCATTTGTTTAATAAAAGCAGGAGTTGACATTTTAGGAAGGACTGCTACTAATTTGAATATACTTAGAGGAGAGGAACCAGGATGTTCTACTCCACCACTGAAGGCTCAAGTTCCGGGGCCTTAAACAAATTACTGAACCTCATTGTATCTCAGTTTCTTCATCTGTAAAATGGGAAAAGTTAAAGTGCCTACTTGATTGGGTTTTAGCAAAATTTAGAAGAGATAATGTGTAAAGTGTTTGCCCATAGTCAGTGCTTGATACATCTCAATTTTTATCATGTGTGAAGAAATATGGAGGGCCACGAGGTTATTTCAGAGAAGAGATGGCAAAGCAAGAGTTGTCTTTAGGTACTCAAAG